TCATAATTGCTGGCAAAGGACTGATAGAACAGCATCACATTCAACTACAGAATGGGAACCATCTGAATCATCTAGTGCATCCTCATAGCAATCTGAAGTGAGTAATGTATTGCACTCAGAACAACAAAGCTTAGATCATCAGATTATCACACAGTATACTGCCAACTAATATTGTAAAAGCACTACTAACACCAAATCAATGTTTTTTACCTGGTTGTAATAATTCCAATCGACCCACTGTTCCATCAGCATTGCGGGTATGTCTCTTGAGCAATGCTGAAGTTATATTAGTAGTATAGTTGTAGCACAAATGGGTCGGCTCGACCAGGGAAGGACCACGCTCTCACAGAATATCAGCATGAAATAGGAGCTTAATACTGCTATGTTTCGTATGATGAGTGTATAGAACCAGAAACTTTTTACTGGAAATGAGGCATTCCATCTTATTCCTCACGGGTGACAACGCTTCTGCATTTTGATTTGTTATCGAGGATAGATGTAGATTCCACATAGCAACCACTTACCATAAGGTGGACTGTGTGCTCGTTTGTCGCCCTATCCTATAAAAAAACAATGTACTTACCTCTAGAATATAGAATATGTAATTACCAATTAAATCGTAACTCTTGCAATGTACTTTTAGAATCAACAAAGTAATCGACAAGTAACCGGCAAGCGACAGTAGCCTAATGGCAGGGCGCGGACCGCGAACTCAAAAAGGTCGTGGGTTCGAATCCACCATTCGACTACTGGCGTGAACCACTCGTAACACAAGCAATTTAAGCTTACCACGAGTGGTTAAGGGGAATATTAGTAATGTTTGTCGCATTGTTAATATTCTTTAAAAAAATCCTATTAAAACATTCAGTGCAGCACAAATTGAAAATTTTGCTACATTATAGAAAGATTATATGCATATCACATAGACTTAAAATATTTAGAGTATGCCTGAGCATACTATACTTTTTTATTCAGGACAACAAACAATTACGTAATAATGCTTAAACCAAATAACAATTTATAAATAACATTAGTCTTAGTCGTTATGTAACCAGCACCGTTATCCACAAAGAAATATAAATTGGTAACAATAAATAATAATGAGAGATGAGAATACTTTATAAATACCCTATAATAATAATATTAACAAACAGAGTATATGTGAAAAAGAAATATACATTATTATCTAGCTACAAATTCTGTCTGAAGTTCCGAGACTATCAAGTAAATATAATAGATAGTGACGAACAAGCAAGTTCCAAGAAGTACTTTAGAGCTGCTCATGAATATGGCCTGTGAAATATTAAATCAGGATTTTGTTTCTATGAATGCAGACACAAATTATATATCCCAAGCAGAAATAGCTGTAAGAAATTCTCCATTCCAAATGGACTGTTGTCTCCAGCTGATGGTGAATCTCAGTTAATGACAAGATATACTGATAAGTCCAGAGCCATGACTATGTGTCGATATGGGTAGTAAAGGCGGTGAATGGCATTTTTAAAACTTAATTTAAAATATTTCGCCAAAATTACTTTAACAGAGCTTCTACACATTTGATGATAGAGTGGCTGCTGCTCTAATTAATAAATTCCACACAAAAAGAAGGGATAGGGATGATGCGGCTAAAAATTTGAAATAGTTCATCAAAATGTAGAGACAAATAATGATTTGTCTAAGTATGCTTGGGAAAGCAATCTAAATAAAGCTAGGGCAGACTTTAGAAATATAAATGTATACTAAAAATGTTAGGGAATATCCTGTTTTAAGGACTTAATATTAATTGCTTGTGGTACATACCAATTAAAGTAAGCTCACTTCATTTATGGTGAGCATATAAGATTTAATAGTTGCTCCGGATAGAAATATGTAATAACCACAGGAGCAGCATTTTGGAAGGAATAACTTTAGCCCTAGCTGATCTTTACTTAGTGTCGTAAAGTGTATTTTATATATATTTTAATTAGTGGCAATGGTTCTGGTAGAAGTGCATTTAAAAAGTATTGTTGCAATTGTATTGTCGGCCGTCGAACAGTATAATGTTGTGCCCATGTTATGATATTAATATGGTATTTGGGTTGAGCACGGCATCAAACTAATATTTTGCCTCCTGCTCAGTTCCTGGATGATGTATTGATGTATAAATTAGAGGAAAATAATTCCTTAGCTTTTCTAGACGCGTTAGTCATCCAAAATCCTAACAACACCATAGGTCACACTGTGTATAGAAAACAATGTATCTCACCACCATCCTTCACAAGTTAGCTACCGTTAGCAAATCTTTGTTACAGAAAGCACAAGGGATCTGTGACAGCAAACATCTGGCTGTCGAGCTTCAGCACGTCAAGCAGGTTCTGCACGTCAACAAGCTTCGGCAACAAGTGACCGAGTGAAGCCGGCCACAGTCAAGCGTGTGCATTACTACCATATGTCAGGGATGTCACAGACTAGATCGGCTACATCTTGAAGCGAGCTTCTATTAGAACATTCTACAAGCCTCTGAAGAAAATTAGTGATTTCTTACCATCAATCAAGTGTCATAATATTCTAAAAGGTAAAGGAGTGTACACCCTTGATTGTGAATTTGGTCTCTCATATATAGGGAAAACGAAAAGAACAATTAAAACCCGCGTAAAAGAACATATACCTGACGTGAAGCATTAAAGTTCAGGGAAGTTTGCAGTTTGTGATCATGTCCTAGACGGCCCCAACCAGATAGACATAAATCAGATTTGATAGACCACAAATCCTCTCGAAAGAACATCAATTCCTATCAAGGGTGATACGTGAGACTATTGAAATAAAAAATCCTTATTTTAAATAAGGAGGCTTGGTACTACCACCTGCTTGGGACCCTTTAATTAATGAAATTAAAACTAAACCCAAGCATACCACTGCAAGTTTTCAAGACACAGTAAGTTCATTCTGTAGATCGGACCATAAATAAAAATTAAAAATCTGTAGGTATTCCAGGTTAACACTTACATTGGGACGTCAGTCACCTTAGTCCGCCGTGACCATGGGTGCTGGAAAGCACCCAAAACGTCTGGAATTAAAAATCAAAGAAATAAAACGCGATAAAATTTATAAAATTAGTTGTTAAAAAAACTGTATTTGTGAAAATAAAAACTTATATATCTTTAAAATCCCGACTTTTTTAAAGCCTTTCCTTTACCATTTCATTATTATCATTTTCATTATTTTAATTGCATATTATCATATCTATATACTTTTATATGTGGGCACCCAAGGCCGAAGTGTCTATGAAGAGTGGGCAATCCCCTTTACGGATAGCGTGTCAGGGAGCGCCTTTGACTTATTGCAACATTTTCCCCGAGCAGGTTTAGTCTTGAGCGAAATTTTGTGTCCCACCGACCCCCAAGAATACGTGGGGCAGCCTGAGCACCACGTTCAAGAGTGAAGTAGCTTGGTCGTGGATGCTCAGCGAGGGATTCTCCACTGGTGCTGGTACCCTCCTGGGGTAGTCTTGCATTTAATTCCGCTACCAGGTTGATGGAGGGGGGGGGATTGGGTCTTCGGCCACCTTCACTCATCAGACGAAACGCAGAAGCAAAGCCTCTACTTCATGCTGGTCTTCTATGAGATCGTGGTACCGCCACGGTTTGAGCCGGCCCATGTGTGCAACAACAAAGGCTGCCGCGTGGCTCTACCACTATTACTAAGACTACCGTGACTATACTAAGTAAATTTCTTTAAATACAATTAATATTTAAAAAAATTAAAGTACCCACATTTCTGTCAAAATAATAATAAAATTAAATTGTTTTCGGCAGTTATTTGAAAAGCTTTTGTCAATGTTGTAAAAAATCCTTTACATACAATCGAAATTAGAAAAACTTTAAAGTTCTACGTCTTAAATTATATTTTTTTCATAAACTCAATCTTCTTTATATTACATATATTATTCGTCCTTTATAGAAATTGTGTACCGATAGTGGATTTTTGTTATACTATTCAAAATAACGACGTTCCCATACGCCACTTTTCTCTAGGCGCTGCGTAAATTAAAATGTAATGTAACTATTTTTCTTCTTAATAATTTTTCTTTTTATCCAATCTCTAAGAAAAATAACTCTGCAAAATTATAATAAACATACTTTACAAAGTAATGATTTTTCTGCCCTACCGTATAGGTCTTTGAGTCTACGATGATTTTATTATACATTAAATGCACTAATATCTTGGCTATCCCATGACACATTAATTGATATATTTATTAAAGCAACAATAAAGTGCTGTGTTAGACAACTCCAACAATCACGTAGATATCGAAAGCCAATGGATGAGTACACATAGTATGTTTTATTCTTCAATGGCCTGACTATTGTCCTGGGTTTAAATTAGACAAGTCACCATTATTTTTGGATAAACCATCTTAAATGTATATCTATCTTAAATAATATCATCATCATATATCATCATATAATCAGCATCTTTGATAACGTCGAATTATAAAAAAACTAGGTAGAAAAATAAGACATATTATATTTTTTGGTTTATTATAAAATATTACAAAAAGATACCAAAGTAGATATATGAGGCAAGTTATGAGTTATTTTATTAACGATATTTGCATTAATTTTAATCTTATGAAATAGGATTCTTTGTAGTACGAAGACTCAACATATATTTCGTTTTGTGCCAAAACTTATACTTTAGTGGTCAAGTAGAAAAATATTAAGTTGTGATTATAATATTACTACCATGCTGATAATACAGATTCTTCACAATTTCTTAACTAGTTAAATATTTACTTTCATATTTTAAATAGCTTTATAAGCACAAAATTATTCAAGATATATGGTTTAATAAAAAATAACAATTAGCATATTTTAAAATCAGTTTCTTGGAAAACATGATCACGTGAAAAAAAATTATTGGAGGTTTCATTAAGACCTCCGAGAACTTGATGTCAGCCATAAAAGAACTGAGAATTGTGATAACCTCTCAAACTTTTTGGACTAACCATAATCTCGGTGTCATTTTTTTTTGTAACTATCAAATCTGTTGGTTGCCATATCTCTTGACTGTGATGGCACAAAATCTACATTACCATACATACTTGCTCCCGCACATGGATACACTGTTGATAATGGCCGCATGGCTCTAAGTGTCCCTTTGCCTGGTAAATCTTTATACAATATCATATCGGGATGAACAGGATCATAAAATGTTCCGGAAATGTGACTCACATCTACATCATTATCAATATCAGAATGCCCATCTTCGAAGACATTAGGAGCTTCCGTAGAAAACATGTCACCAATTTTTGAATTGTTTTGCTGTCGACGTTTAATAAAGCATCGAACTCCAACCAGAAATAATATTAGTACACTAAAAATTAATATGCTTGCGACGGTATACATTTGTATTTTATATAAAGTGTAATCTGAAGTTTTGTTTTCTTTATTTTTCTCCTCTGCAATTTTTATAGTATGGTCGAGTGGTGCATTTTCAGTACGAAAAATATCTTGTGCAGACGACACCGATGCAGGGTCAGTTAATGGAGGTACTATATTTGATTCACTCCACTTTTCCCCAGTGTCAGCTAAAAAAATATTACAATTAGCATATAATATAACTATATAGTGGATCCAAGTCTCGTTAGAGGTAACAGTGGTAAATTCTAGAAAGATCATCTGAAGCTTACATCATCATCATCATTACAGCCCTTCACAAGTCCACTGCTGAACATATAGAGCTTCTCCCAAGTAATGTCACAAGGCACGGTCCTGAGCCACTGAATGTCTTCACTCCATCTCAAGGCTCGAGGCTGCCACTTGAGAACCTTTTTCCCCATCGGTTATCGGTTCGTCAAGCTATATGGCTTGCCCATTGCCACTTCATCTTACTAGTCCGTTGGCTTATGTCGGTCACTCTGGTCCTACTCCGGATATCCTTATTTCTGAGTTTATCATAGGCCACTCCATAGCTCGCTGAGCGACCTTGAGCATCCTTATAAGTTTACCTGGGACATATAGTCCGACTAGGTAAGTTCAACTTCGACCGAGGGGTCAATCTACGGATTAAACTTGTTTGGGCAGCGTTCGGGAAATTACTATACATCTTCCCTTCAGGTATGTATCAAACTCTGAAAATCAGATTGTTCAACCAGTGCGTGTTGCCAATGATGACTTATAGATCTGAGAAGTGGTTCTTCTGGAGCTTTAGGAACAAGGAAAAGTCTATCGCGCGGACCCAATGTTTGTTTGCATCCTTCACTTATTTATAGAATTAATATGTCGTTTACACGACATATTATTTTAATTTTCAGGTTATGAAGAAAATAAAACCTTAATAATTTCAACCAAACTTTTAGCTTTTATACTTTTTTTAATAGAGGATAAGGATGATTTTTACAACGATGATAGTTAGGAGCATCATTACTTTTTGTTTTAATATACTAGTAGCTAACTACACTTATTTTTATTTACTCACCGGCTTCATTGAAAACAGTTTCTTCTTGATCTGATCCAGAACGGAAACTAATTATTTCATCTTTTTCAGCAGCACTTTCATATTTCTCCGTAAGAACTCAGTGGTACTGAAAATACTTATGATTTGCATTTATAATACCAAAAATGATGGGATTAATTTTCTCAAAATAATTATATTAAATAAAATGTTAAAATAAAAGTAATTAGAAAACCAATTATAATGCACTTTAATATGTATATGCGTGTCTTTTAGAGTGGTAGAATTATTCTATCTAAACTAAAATCACGAAAATGAAAAGTGGGTGCACGAAAAGTGACCAAAGGCCTGGCGGAGCGAACGATCATGTGTACTACTGTATTAGCGTGGTTCAAAAGGAACCAAAGCAAATTGGCGAACTGGACACGTGGCGGACTTTGGACAATATACTTGCTTTGAAATGAATTTGAGGCGTTGGCTGACACAACGGAATACGAGCTGCTGCGGATAAAAAAGCAACAAAAAGTATATAAATGATAAATATCGTAAAAACCTTAACAGGCAGCCAAAACAATAACTACCACCGAGGTTATTCTACCTTTTTTTCATATTTAACGCCTTCTGAATCTTATGTGTTAGGCAAATCTTTAAACATTATATGTTGTAAAACATTTTTTGTTTTACGTAGCAAGTTTTCATCAGATGTAACGAAGGATACCTACATCGGAGTGAAAAATTTGTCTTATACTTACCACACGCATAAACTATTTTAAGGTAATTCCTCGAACCTGGCTTGCAAGCAGAGCCAAAAGTCTTATGATTAGCAAGGACTTCACAATGCCGTTTACCATGACAGATCTGCATTACTGCTTCTGCTGCGAATGGAGCAGTGCAAGCTGAAATATTTACAAATATTGAAAAAAAAAACTGAGTACCCATTTAATATTTTTGACATTGCATGAATATTTTTAGAATGTCGTACAGTAGATGAAATATAATCAAACTGAAATAGTGATTAGATTTAATGACTTAAAGTTATAATAAGTATTTTTATTTCCTTACTCTCATCGAGTACTCCTTGGGTTTGAGGACATGTGATAGATTCATAAGTAGTTCGTCCGTACTGCGCATCAAAAATAGCTATTCTGGAATGTGGATTGCAGCTTAGCTTAATTATTTCATTTTCACAACCCGTTCGACTACGAAACTCATCTGTAAAAGAAATAAAATTATTCCATAAATTATAAATATAACATTTAAAAAAATATTGGTATTTATACAAAAAGTCATCTACCCAACTTCTTTAATCAAATTCGGCATAAAATCACGATTTTTCTTATAATTATCAAGATATTTATATCTTTCTATATAGTATTATTAAACGGGGCAATGGAAATAATTTTTTGCATATGCAATATAAGCTGAAAAGTGGCATAGTCTATTTTATTCCGGAGAAATTCACTTTCCTGGGGAGTTGATCGGAAACAATATTATATTATTGTGTTGTCTTTGGTTTAAGAATAACACACCGCCTTTTCGAAATTATAACATTTTTCGGTTTCCACGTGGGAAAAGCCGCGGAAAAAAAGCTAGTTTTAAAATAAATATTCCTACGGTCGTATACATAACACGCTAAATATTTGACATTCAAAGCAATTCATTAATTGCTTGCCATCAGCTCTTTCAATGGAAAATGTAATATGTAACCTTCGTTGTATGACGTTAGTTTATTTACAAAAGCCTGACTTGTAATTTGATAGGCCAACTATAATTATCTCAGTTGTCCTTCTAGCATGAAAACTTTACATAAATGTAATATGTATCAATGGTATAGCAATTTTTCCACCTATTAATCAGACTGTAACAGTTCATGTGCCGCTCACCACTTAAAAATTATTTTCCATAATCGCAGCGTTTACGAAGTGAATTGGTGGTATTGTAATTAATAATTTGTATATCTTAATTATGAAACAGTGAGTCCCAAGTTTTAAATCAGATAGAACCAATTTTACAATTATATTTAAAGTTTAATGTTGTATTTTAAGGTACCAATAACCTCAGTCTATGACACAATACCCAAATTTTCCTTCAAATCTTTAACTCTCTAAAGGTCTCAGACATAATAATAGAATTTCCCTCTAATAATTTAACTTAAGTGGTACATTGGGGGCTGTTGGACGATTGAATATAATATTTTGTGCGTTTGGGCGTATTCTTATAGTAATAACACATAATATGATCTGTCATTCGCTAGAGCTATATAAATCGGCAAGGGGTACTAGTAATAATTCATCGTCATTGTAATCACAGAACATTTACTTCACTTTTCTACTGATACGTGACGGTCTTTCAACGGTTAAGATAAGATAAGTGCTATAGAAATTTAATATAGTTTCTTCTAGAAACGGTTACTAAATGAACATTTTAGAACGATATATATATTGCAACGTCTCGGGGTCCCCGCATTCGGTTAACATTTTTTATCATCTCTGCGAATATTGCTTAGCTTGTTTTTTGATTTTTAACTTAGTGACATATTTCACATTCCTTTACTATTTTCCGCAATTTTCTTCTTGCAGTTGCGTCCAACTATTTATGACCTTCAAGAATCATGATAATGTATTCTTGGTTTCCTTCATTTATCGAGCACGATTTACTATTTGCGTTGACATTTGATGTCCAGAGTGCTTTCTTGCGCACCAAAGGACCTCGAGCCTCAACCAAAAAAAAATTTACAATGAAATGGTTATGTATATTTTGTGATATTTATTATTTATAGTTTTATTCCCAACTGAGTACCTTTTACACGTCAACGGTATGTGTAGTTTATTCCGGCATGCCTCTGTATGCACATGTATTATCACAGTTCACAGGAATCTAAGTACTGCTGAGAAGCTAATGCAACCTGAGCTTAAAAGTCTGTGACTGTAGAAGTGAATAATGAATACGATAAAAGGGTATGGACGTACGTTCATCCATGCATTGAGAATAAATTGTCTATGGATATAGCCAAACAATTAGTAAACAAAATATCTGAATAAACTAAAAACATTTTAGAAGTAAACTCTTCGGTGGAAAAGTCTAGAATGGGAGAGGGGCATACGTTTAAGTGCACTACTAGACAAAGAATTCAGTGCGAGTAACACATTAAGGTAATCGATAGGCCACATAATCTTACCACAACAAGATTGAGCGTCACTTCAATGTGTGGTGAAATAAATAGTTTTAAATTTTAATTTATTATTGACGTGTCAGAAAACCTCATGCGTTACAGAATTTAAAAATCTTTTTCTCCTTTATAAAGTATAGGTACTGTATAATGCTGTGTACAAGCATTTGGGAAGGTTCCTAAGTAATGTATATTTTAATGAGATATATGGAATAGTTCTTGTAAGTAATGTGTAAATTTTAATTATGAATAACCAAAAGCTCAAAAGTGTAAAAATACTCCATATTTATTATATTATTTGGCATCCGTAAATTCCAAATAATAATATAGTCGTGGTAGCTCAGGACTCAAGCGCTCGCTGTGAATTTCACAGTACGCGAGCGAACCGAGTTCGATACCCGCTAGTATCAATGAAATTGTTAATTGCAATTTTTAGTGCTGATTTACCACGTGCTCGACGGTAAATGATAAAATCGTGAGAAAACCTACATGTCTATTATTCTATTTATATTATTATTTGTAGTCATAAATATTACATTCATTTGAAAAATACAAACTTCCAAATACAATTTACGCGATCAGTAGTACGTGAGTTTCGGTACTGCGCAAACCAAATGGCCGCCCTTAAGTTAGAGTTGGTTGGTGTTAACTTACAGAGAGCTATGTAAATATATATGTTAAATACTTTTTGACTTATTTATTATATTTAATGCATAAAAATTAACGCCATGTGGTGACAGCGAAAGAAAATACTTCACTCTATTTACTTTGTGTCATGGGAGGTGACTGAAACTTAAAAAAATCAAGACTTTCGGTAAATCTTTTATCGCGGGAGTCATAAGAGGAGATAGAAAACGAACCAGGAGAACATCACCTTCTTTATAAACAATTAAAAAAACTATTGTTGACAACCCAATCCAAGCGTGGCAACTATGACAAAATCTAACCTAAGAAGCAATCTATGGGGAGCCCATGTACAGCAGTGGACTTTTGATAGGCTATAAGAATAACTAGAAACTATAAGAACGTCTAGAACAGGTAAATGAAATTGTATACTTGGGGAGTGCTTTCAGCCGGGATGGAAGATGTGATTTAGATGTGGATAGGCGCGTCGTGAAGAGGCGTGGCGTGGTGAAGAGTGCACGCCTTGCAATACATAACGCAGTGTTGGTACCGACTTTGTTATATGGCAGCGAAAGGTAGGTATGCCAGAAGAAGCATAAAAGCAAGTTGAATGAAGTGGATATGCGATCTCTTCGTAAAATGTGTGGCGTTACCATAGCTGATCGAAAGCGAAACGAAGAGATTCGCAATATGGCAGGATTGAAAGATGACCTTATCACAAAAATTGATAGGGGCGTACTCCAATAGTTTGGGCACGTTGAGCGAATGAGTGAAGACCGAATGGTGAAGAAAATATATAGAGCGAAAGTAAATATTAAAAGGTGTCGAGTTAGACCGAGACTAACTTTCGAAGACCATGTGAGCAAATTGCTCGAAGAGGGGAAAGTCAAGAGTACTCCGAGTACCTAGACGTGCATGTATGAAGAAGTTAATGAACCTGAAAGAAGCGAAAGAGGTATGTAACGATCGTGACACTTGGCGATCTGTTCTCTCTGGCTACCCCGTTAAGATTGTGCGTGAAGATAAGTAAGTAAGTATAAGAATAACTGTTACGATAAATAGAGGTTAAAATTTCATTGAAACTAGACATAAAACCCCAAAACCGACGACGGGCAGCAGCGTCAAAGAAACGAGACATCTGGTACTGTGATCTTTATTCCACCTACCAATCGTGACAATTGAGGCAAACCCTCTTTACAACGAGAGAGGCCCAGATCCAGAAGCAGGCTTTTACGAGCTAATTCATAAGAAGATAAAAAAGGAAGCCAAATAGGAATAAATAAAAATATAAAATAGGTATATTTTTATTAACCCACCCATTGAATTATTGTAACATTGCAGAAAAATTATTATCTTTGATATTATAATAAAGCAGCACTTTACCAAAATGAAATTGTAATTTAAAAGTTTCATTAGATGCGGCTTTATTGCACAAACAAAGCAGCCAACAAAAAATATTCAAGTTAAATAAACAGTCTAGTACGTTTACAGAAGTTATTGTCTGTAGGAAACCTAACACAACGTTCAACACGCTCGTGTGTGCTCGTTCAACTAATAAGGGCCGCACCTATCCACCACTCCCGTAGCATGCCACACCCACGCTTTGCCACTCGCCGGGGCAGCGACCCGAGTTGGAATTTAATAACGCCGCATAAATCACATCAATACACTCAACGGAACCCTCGTAAAAAACCTAGCCAGCGTGCTTAGTGAATCCACTTTCCCCTCTTTTGTTTTGGTTAAGGGAAAATTACGCGGCAATATCTGCTTCCGATCCCTTACCAAATCGCTTAAATATTGTGTTGTGCCTAAACCAATATTCTAATACTATAGATTTTTTCAACCTCTTTTGATTTGTTTTTTAATTTATATTTTGTGTGTTTACTGCTATGGATTTGGTTTTATTAGCATTTTAGTAACGTTTTTCAAAATAGTAATGTTTAATACCCTATTAAACGTATATGTTTTTTTTATTTATCTAACTAGGTATTCTCAATGACTTACCTAAGTTAATATGTTTAATTTAATTTTATCGAAGACACTAGTCCTACCTATTTTAATGTGCTTGGGTAGTACCAATCGAAGTATTTTGCGTTGTAATTTGTAAATTTTGTGTACGTACATTACATCAGTTCTTCCATAACTAATAACAGAATCTACTAGATCCATATAAAGTAATTTTAGTATTTTATATGGTAGCTTAAATTTAAAAACATAAAGCAAACTAAATATGAAAGAAGAGAAAAAAAGAGCGAAGTTTTACACACACGCGATGTTTATGCTCTCTGCAGCAGAATATTTCGTCAATAATCAGACTAACGTATATAAATATGTGATTTTTGTCATTTTCAATGTGTAGAAAAGTACAATGTTGAAACATTCCGTGGAGATACTCATAGCTATGAGAAATGATAGTTTGACAAATTTATTGTGAGTTGAGTGTATGTGAACAAGTTTAGATTTTTGAGCGTTAACCACCAGGCCGACATCGTGTGCCCACTTAAATGTCACAACTTGTCTGCATTTCACATTGTGCTACATCTATGCTTTAATCGGCTATAACGATACAGGTGTTATCTGCAAATTGATGTATGGAGCCCTAAGCTATTGCATTAACCACATCATTTACAAATAACAAGTACTGAGTCGGGCCCATTATCGAACCTTGTGCTGTGCCCCAGTCAGTCGCAAACATATCACCAGTCTGTTTGTATATTTAACAGTGGCATAACGATTACGTTGATATCTTTTGAGAAGTTCTAATAATGGTCTATACATTAAACGCTATACTAAAATCAATAAATTTTACAAAATTATGATTTTTATTATCTAGACGATTATTTATTTCATCAGTAAATCGCCGTAACAGTCGCGTTATGTTTTTATATTTTGAAAAGGTATTTATTTAAAATCATTGCTCAAATAACGCTCAATTATTTTATTAAGACGAAAGAGAAAAGTTATAGGACGATAATTGTTAAAGTCATTACGCTTGCCTTTCTATAGATTGGTTGTATTTCACCTGTTTTTAGTAATTCTGGATAAATAGACGTTTTAGGCATTGATTAATGAAGTAAGTAATTAGATGCAATATTGATATGGAAATGTATTTTATCACAAGCCCAAATACCATCATATTCAGGGCTTCTTTTATCATTCACTGTTTGAATAATTTTGGTTACGTCGACGGATGTCGAGATTTTTTTAATTTTTATAGTTTTATCTTGGGTAATTACATAGGTACAGGGATCTATAAGTTTAGTGGATTATCACAGTTCAAACTAATTTTTCTAACATTTTTATAAAATTCTAAGTCAAATTTATTTGCTATTGTTTAAGGGTTCATACGAGTATTAAATGTTTTTTTTTTGTAGTGTATCATCAATACAAAACAATATTTTAACTGTTAATACAGTGTTTATTAATTTCCAAAGTTTTATTGGATTTCTAATGTTTTCCCAAATTTCTTGTAATTTTATTATTGTAATTTAATTTTTTAATGAATAAGTGCGATCCCTTCGTCAAATCTTAAATAGTTCATCGCGTTTTTACATATATTTACCTATATATAGTAAATATATTTAGTAAATATATGTAAATTATTATATGTGTATGTTTATACTCAAAGCAACTTTTAATCTATTAGATCCAGATCATTACGAAGTTTTTATTATCCAACATAGTTATGTGCTGCTGCGCGTTTGGATAACGTGAGTCATAGTTCGTATCGACGCCAAATTCGAGTATCGCACTGCCTATTTTATGGTTGGCTGGCGCGATATTCACACATTCCGTATATACCTCGTTCATGTATATTTTTCTAATAAGAATATCATCTAAACATGATTTTATGTATTCGGTTCTCGTATTTTTCTATTTTTGTATATATAATAAGTTAAGATAAGTAGTGCTAGTGGGATTTGTCTTCTTTGTATTTAAATTCGTCACCCACGAATATGCATACAATTTTAGGCGAATATCCACCTACAATAATAGCTACCTCATCAATAAAACGGTCTATATTCGTATGAGGTGGTCTATATATAGTACAAAGGCCTACAGTACCATTATTATGGTTATATTTAATACATTGGCATTCTTTCGTCAATATATATATATATATATATATATATATATATATATATATATATATATATATATATATATATATATATATATATATATATATATATATATATAATACTTAAAATCCGTCAAAATGCAAGAATAATTTTTTTCACCTTTCCTGTCATTTCTTAGCTCGTAATTAATGTTATAATTTGTTAAATTAAACATATTAATGCAATGATATTGAATATTTATGATTATACAAACGATATGTGTTGAGTTTTTATTATATATTTAGTTACTTTGTAGTTTTATTTATTTTATTCTAGATGTGCCTAATTCTTAAATAATAATGATATGTTTACATGAAAAAACACAAGCGAACAATTATCTAAGGGTAGTTTGATTGCAAACTCATCCAATTGTCATAATTTGACTTGGTCATGTTAGAATTTACATTATGTACTATTTCTACAATATGCAATAACAAGTTACCTTAACTAAGTGATATTAATAGAGTTACCACAAAAATAAATATTAAATAATAATATATAAAAAAGAAGTAAAAAAGGAAAAATAATAATTAGACACTTAACAATTACTCGTAACGGTTTCTTATTTAATCAATGGGTTTGTTTTGCGTGTTCTTAACTGATTATAACTCAAAGAGAGTGCGTATGGAAATTATTATCGACTTTTATTATTTGCGCAGTAGAATTGTACCATTACTGTACCATATGAATTTGAAAGTTCCTTTAAGTGCTTCTTTAGTTTTTCATAATAAAAATACGATTCAGGGTACCCTGCATTCATAGTTGAGCCGCTGTAATTTTAAAGTCCTTGGCTTTATTCAGCCAACTGTCACGCGCACCATGTTGCAGCGTTACTGTCATAGGTAATGTTCTATGCGATTTGAATACGCAGTGCGATTTTTTCTCTTATGGACGCCACACACGGTCAGTTGATCTTTCTCAGTTGTACCGACGTACATCCAAAAACTGACCGTGAGTGTGGAATCTTAAGTTGAAATTTTCAACTGACGACAACCCACGGATTTTTTCAGTCGCACTGTCAGTTGAAACTGCTGAGTCGAACTGACGTAAATCCAAAAACTGATCGTGAGTGTGAAATCTTAAGACGAAATTTTTAACTGATTAATTACTGGTAAGTACCTGATTTCTTGGTAACTACATACTTTAATTCTATGCTATCTGGATTTTTTATTATTTTATATATTTAGAGAATTTCGTTTGACGAAGGATGAAGACTAAGGTGACTGTGATAATGTCACCTTCCTTATGATTGACTCAGAAGATGGGTAAAAGATCTTAGTGATGCTACGTAGAATCATCGTGTTTCTCATTTTCAAAAAGGTTCATGAAGACCTAGATGACTATGATGATATCACCTAGCTGATGGTGGACTCCGAAGGTGGGTAAAGGATCTCATTGACACCACTAGATAGGTCGATTGTGTTTGAACTCATTTGAAAGGGCAGAAAAAGACTTAGGTGCCTATTATGATCTCACCTTTCCGATGGTGCAATACGGAGGTGGATATAAGATCTCAGTGACACCACTAGATAGGACGATCGTGTTTGAACTCATTTGAAAGGGCAATCAGGGTAAGGGTAATCTAATATTAAACTTACTCTCTATAGTTACAGAAATAAAATAGTGCACCTATTGCTGCTTGGCGGCAGAAATAGATAAGAGGGTGACCTATCCTAACCCTAACCTATCACAACGGACTCCTGCAGAAACCACCCCTTACCACCAGTATATTGTACTGTCTTGCTTGTTATTAATAATAAAAAAGTACAATTAAATAGGCGTAAATTGACATTAAAATACTTACAAGGGCGGCACTTGTAAGCTACTTCAACGAACTTTCTTGCAAATGGACAGGGGTCCACCAACCCTGGTTTGGACTTCGTGCTGAATTTACATTGAGGCTTCTTTTGGCACGCTTCTACCACTGTTTGTAGAAGTGAATACTGCGAATTATTATTTAATGAAATTAATTGTTTTTATAGAATAAAAGTTATATACGGGCACACAGTACCGGATGGTAAATGGATACTAAGGCCAATAGATATCTTCATTTATACTCGATTAGAAACCAGAATAGAGATGCGTTGTCGCCCCTAAGGACTAAGATGAAATGCCCCGTTTCCAGTAATAAGAGTCTTGGATTCTCTACACTCACCATACGATACACAATATCATTAAGTTACTATTTACGCAGGTATTCTGCGAGAAAAAAAGGATACGGTATTAAAATCAATGGCGAGTAGTAGTCCTTATGGCAGAATCGCTGGAGGACCTTAGCACTATGCTCAATGACCTCAATGGTGTCTCCCAACGGATAGGTCTTAAGATGAACATGGACAAAACAAAGATCATGTTTAATGTCCATGTCACACCTATGCCGGTAGTTGTTTGGAGCACTATGCTCGAAGTTGTTGACGAGTACGTTTACCTGGGACAAATAGTCCGACTAGGTAAGTCCAACTTCGACCGAGAGGTCAATCGACG